CTCCCAAGGATAAGGCAGAACTATTTGCAAAGAACTTTTCTTCTAATTCCACTCTTGAATCTTATGGACATTCTCTTCCTTCCATTCCAGTCAAACAGGTTGACCCATTGTTAGACATTCAAATCACTCCGGCTTCTAATGCTAAAGTCATATCTCAATTAAACTCGTCTACAGCTTGTGGTCCAGACAACATTCCTGTCACAGTCTTGCAGAATTATTCTCCAGAACTTTCTTCAATTCTCTCTAAACTATTTAACAAGTGTTTGACTGAGTCTTGTTTTCCTGCTTGTTGGAAAATGGCATTTGTGGTTCCAATATTCAAAAGCTCTGGAGAAAATTCTGACCCCTCCAATTATCGTCCGATCAGTCTTCTTTCTGTTATTAGCAAGGTCTTTGAGTCTTTGATCAACAAACTCTTACATCTCATCTTGAGTCAAATAAACTGCTGTCAGACAATCAATACGGTTTTCGATCCTCTCGCTCTACGGCCGACTTGCTAACTGCTGTAACTGAAAGATTTTATCGTGCATTAGATGGAGGCGGTGAGGCTAGGGCTATTGCTCTCGACATATCTAAAGCTTTCAACAAAGTTTGGCATGCTGGTCTTCTTCATAAGCTTGCTTCATATGGTGTTTCTGGGAAAGTTTTTGAGATTATCAAATCATTTCTTTCTAACCGGTTTATTAAAGTCATCCTTGAAGGCCAACACTCTTCTTTATTTCCAGTAACTTCTGGGGTTCCCCAAGGTTCCATCCTAGGCCCTGTTTTGTTTCTTATCTACCTAAACGATCTTCCTGACAACCTTTCATCTAAAGTAGCTCTTTTTGCTGATGACTCAACTTTATACTCCTGTCTTGACAAAAAGTCTTCTCTTTTCGATCGCCTAGAACAAGCAGCTCATCTTGAATCTGATCTCACTTCAGTAATAGATTGGGGTTTACAGTGGCTTGTGAATTTCAACTCTAAAAAAACTCAATTGCTTACTGCAAACAACTACCGTAATATGGTCAACATTCCTATATTAATGAATGGCAATCCTCTTACTGAGTCGTCCTCTTTACGTCTTCTTGGATTATCGCTTACTACTGACCTTTCATGGAAACCATATATACAATCAATTTCTAAATTAGCTTCTGCTAAGGTTGCTTCTCTTTACCGTGCTCGCCATTTCCTTACTTCTGATTCCATTGTCTACCTCTACAAATCTCTTATTCGTCCCTGTATGGAATACTGTTGTCATATTTGGGCTGGTTCTTCTAACGATTCACTTTCTCTTCTTAACAAGGTCCAAAAACGCATTGTAAATGTTGTTGGACCTGGACTATCTGCTACGCTTGAACCTCTTTCCCATCGTCGTAAAGTTGCATCTCTTTCTCTTTTCTACAGATACTATCATGGTCACTGCTCAAAGGAGTTATCATCTCTAGTTCCATCAAGTAAAATTCATTCTTGTTTTACTTGTCATTCAGCTAAGTCTCATTCGTTTACTGTATCTGTCCCTGCATGCTCTAAAAACTTTTATTCATCTAGTTTTTTTCCCTGAACTTCAATCTTTTGGAACTCTCTCCCGTATTCATGTTTTCCTGACTCATACAACCTTCAACTTTTCAAGTCTTCTGTCAACCGTTTCCTTGCTCTATAACTCTGTTCTTTTTTTTTTCCTAGTAACTCCCAACTTAATAGTGGTTGCTTGCAGCCTTGTTGGGAGTGAATGCAAATAAATAAATATATATATATATATATATATATATATATATATATATATATATATATATATATATATATATATATATATATATATATATATTTATATATATATATATATATATATATATATATATATATATATATATATATATATATATATATATATATATATGTATATATATATATATATATATATATATATATATATATATATATATATATATATATATATATATATATATATATATATAATATATATATATATATATATATATATATATATATATATATATATATTAGGGTGGGTCATAAAATTTTTTTTTAGAGTTGCTAACCTGGCTATGGTCTAGAAAGTTGCTTTTTTATGTACTAATTTAGGAAAGTATTTACTTTTATGGATTAAGCAATGTCTTTCACCCTCAACTATAATTTCAAAAATTAGCAGGCCCTATTATTATTCAAAAAAAAAGTTTTTTAAAATTATGTGATGTAGGCACTCAAATGAAGCGAAATTTTATAAAAATATAAAAAATATTAATTTTTTCATATAAAAATTATTATTTTAGATTTTATTGCATGATAACTATAGTTTTTTAACAAAAAGTGAAAAAGGTGCATTTTTACATGTTTTTTAATGACAATTTTTTTTTGCAATATGACTTTTATAAAACAATTATAATTTTCAAATTTTTTATAAAATTTCGCTTCTTTTGAGTACCAGGTTGACCTACTTTTGAAAAACTTTTTTTCTCTAAAATATTAGGGTACTGGTAATTTTCCCAATAAAGTTGCGCCCTTTAAATCTATCACAATCATTCTCATATTTGATAGTATCAATATTAATAACTATTAGCAATGTTTAGAGCCTGTAACAAGGAAAAAAAAAATTTTATGAACTACCCTAATATATATATATATATATATATATATATAAATATATATATATATATATATATTATATATATATATATATATATATATATATATATATATATATATATGTATATATACAAAACCCTCTGAATTAGGGTAATTACCTAACTGCCAACCTGAAAGTGTCTGAGATAGACAAAATATTGCCGACCTCGTTTCTATGTTTTATGGTTAGACCTTTGTATCAAATAATTTTTGCCGACCTCAAAAAGATTGAGGTTTGCAAATTATTGCCAACCTCTTTTTTCCTAATTCCGAGGGTTGATATATATATATATATATTTATATATATATATATATATATATATATATATGTATATATATATATATATATATATATATATATATATATATATATACATATATATATATATATATATATATATATATATATATATATATATATATATATATATATATATATATATATATATATATATATATATATATATGTGTATATATATATATATATATATATATATATATATATATATATATATATATATATATATATATATATATATATATACAGGCCTCAGTGGGAAGCGTGAGTATTAGCTCTCGCTCTTGCCCACACTTCCCTAAAACAGTTTATGGGAGCAATTTATGGCTCTCGCAAAAGTATAGTTTTCTTTTAAAAGTTTAATTACCATTGTAACTAAAATGAAAAACATTTTTATAAAAATTTATTTTATAATAAGCTGTAATGTTTTTAAAAGGTTGTTGTAAAAAAGTAAAAATTAAAAAAGAGGGCCGATTTAAATGCAAATATTTCGATAAGATTGGACTAATTAATATAAAACTAATACACTCTAAATTATTGCATAATAATTTTTATTTTATGTAATGATTTGTATATTTTATATATTAATTACTTAAATATATTATTCACTTATATTGTGATCTTTTTAATTGTTGTAATAATTCTTAAATTTCCTGCATTCTCATTACAATAAGAAAATAAAAAAGATTTTCGTAAACGATTTGACTTTTGTCAAATTTTTTATCAAATGAGTAATTTTGTAAATAAATAAATGGATAGGTAATGTAAAAACCCAACAATAACATTTGCCTCAAGATATGCATTATAAATGATACTTGTTATGTATATATTCTTGTAACATTAATGTTATAAACATATGCTTGTAACAATTATTAAAATTTTTTTTTTAAATGAGCAATTTTTTTAATGAATAAACAGACCGCTTGCGTAAAAAGCAAAAGCTCTCATAGGAAGCTGTTTAGAGGAGCAGCTCGCATGGCTTGCTATGTTTGTTTTAGGAGAGCTTCTCTCCGCTCTTACGCTCATTTACTCCCAAAATCAAGTACTTGATCCTTTTTTTACGAGCATAGCAGAACACTTAGAATACTAGGTGCAGATCCAATTCTGCTTCTTTTTCAATGTGTTTAGTGTGTTTGCAGCATATTAATGTGATTGCAGCATATTAATAATGTGTTTGCGGCATATTAGTAATGTGTTTACAGTAAAAATAAATAAAACGTGATAGGAGATAAGTGTATTATATTAAAACAACATTATATTTTTGTTTAGCAAAAATACCACCAACAGTATTTACATATTGTTTTTAACTGCTGGAGAGAAACTTTTGTCAAAAATTTTGTAAAGTTTTGTTCTGCAGAGAAAATGCTTCAATTAACAGCATCAAAATAATATAATATCTGCACATGTTTTACTTTGTATTTACCTGTGTTACATAATGATTGTATAAAATGTAAGAACAGCAATTTTATATTATTTTGACATTAATCTGATGACAATAAAATGATTTTCAATTTTCAATTAAAGTTTTTGCTACACTTTTACTGAACCAAAATTTTGATACGCTCTGTTTGGACAGACCTGTGGAGTTAGAGGCATGAAGTTGGTGTTGCAACATTTTTAGCAGAGTCGGTGTCAATACCAAAAAGTTTTACTCCAATAGTAAAACTTCTCGGTATTGCAAGTACATGTACAAAATATTTAACCTTCAAAGAACTTTTCATATCACACCCTTGGTTTTGAATAAAATTTCATGAAAAATAAAAAATAAAAATCAAGATGAGACATTTTATTTCAGAATATTTTCATTTCAATGCCTTTAAAAAACCTTTTAATTTATAAATAAAAAAATTTAACTTAAAGTTTTTGTGGTATTGCACACAAATCTCTGATACTTGGAAACGGAATAAATTTTATCTAACTTTCAAATCTAGTTACATATTTATAAATAATATAGAAATAAATATATTACTATAAAAAAGAAAATTGTTAAAGGGTTTTAAAATTTTATAAAATAAGAAAATGAATAAAGCAATGTAAATCAATAAAATAAATATAATCTGATTATATTTATTTGTAGGTAACTCCTAAGACATTAGAACTTTCTGAAAATGGTAAACCGCAAAAAGTTTCTGTTACATCAACAGTACCCATTGTATGTGAAGATGGAACTGAAAGCTGTAATGTGCTTCTAGAGTTGGGTCAAACAAAAACTGACAGCTTTGTTGATTACTGTTCATTAATGTTCAAACCTGGACCAGCTGGACAAAACCAAGAAATTGAAGTGGTTGCTAAGAGAGATTTTGTTGATGATGGTAATCAAAAGATGTTTTTACAACTTTTTGTTCCTGATCATGTAGATCCAGTGGATTGGAATTGTCATAAACAAATTACTGATGTTGAGGTGATTTTTTTTTAAATAAATAAATTTTATCTTTTGTTCAAGTGTTACAGTTTTTACTTATTAAATGTTATAAAAAAGGAATTAATAATTTATAAATGAGTTATCAGACATCATAGTCTTTTTAATATGTATGGCTGTATGTAAAGTATGTTATTTTTGTTGTTTATGAGTAAAATTGTGAAATAATTAAAATATTTTAGTTAAAAAAAGACTACAAAGTTTTTGTTTTATTGACAAAGCTACAAAAAAGGATTAACTTTTGTTAAATTAATTAAAAATTTGTTGTTGTTGTCGTTGATATGGAAATGTTTAATATTCCAGAATTTAACTTAAACATAAAAAAAGTTGAGTTAATAAGTTTATGTCAAAATAAATGTAAAGTCAAAATACAAAGCAATAATTTTTATATTTTGTACCTTGTCATTAAGTGAATGAGGTTGCAAGTGAATGAGTTAAGTAAGTGAAAATAAATAGTTTGAAAATTATATTGGTAAAAATAAAATATATATATATATGTATATATATATCTATATATATATATATATATATATATATATATATATATATATATATATATATATATATATATATATATATATATATATATATATATATATATATATATATATATCTATATATATATATATATATATATATATATATATATATATATATATATATATATATATATATATATATATATATATATATATGTATATGTATATATATATATATATATATGTATATATATATGCATATATATATATATATATATATATATATATATATATATATATATATATATTTAAACAGTTTTAAAAATGTATTCTACATAATAGAGTGCTTAATGTTCTTAAAAGAGCAGAGCAATTATAAATTAGTAGAAAATCACTTAACAAAAATTTTGTTCATTTTACACTGTGTTTCATCAACAAGAATTTCTGATGGGTCTTTGTTAATGAAACACAGTGTGTTTTTATATATATATATATATATATATATATATATATATATATATATATATGCATTTCAATTAATCATATAACTCATAAATATAACTTTTCTATATACCGCAAGAATGCAATAACGAATATTCTCAGCAATAACTTCAAGGGATTGTAAAACATTACAAACCATCCCAAACAAAAAACCGCCAACAAATTAATACAAATAATACCATAATACTTCTGTGGGTTCCTAAATTAAGCCTTATTCTTAGATGTGAGTATTGAAAAATTGGTATAAAAACAGTTTTTCGTTTTGGAAGATCTTTATCGAACATGTTATGCCAAAATAAATTAAAGCTACCACCAAACAGTTACCCGGGTGTTTACCAAATTGAATGTACATGTGTTGCTTTTTATGTGGGTAAAACCAGAAAAAAAGATAAAAACACGAGAAGCTGAGCATCAAAAAAACAAAAACTCTTTTTATATTTGTAAAAATAGGAAAAAAATAAATAAATAAAATGTGCCTGCGATTTAAATAAAATAAACTGCCAACAAGCAATTTATTTTAATTTTAATTTAAGCATTACAACTTTATTAATAATTGCTTCATGTAACAAATTTAAAAATTATTATAAATGATTTTAACATTCATTCCCATCGTAATTTAAAAAAATATTTTTTTTTTTTGAAAAATAAAATTTTTGTTTTTAAAAGATTTTAAAAAATTGTTGTTTAATTATAAAAATTAATCTTATGAACATTGCAAAATACATGGTTATATAAGTAAATAAAGTTATTATATATTCTTGTATAATTCACATTTAAAAGCTAAATGTAAATGTGTAAAAGCAAGTAGTCGCAAAAGGTTTTGAACTTATTCATAAATTAAAGTAACTTTAAATCTTTTTAAAATTAATGCTTTAAAAGATTTTTAGGAAGACATGGGAAAATAGTTTCAAACATTTAAATTTGTCATGAAAAATACATTCCTACTTAAAAAAAATTTATATATAACATTTTTTTAATAATTTACACACGTGTTTATGTAAACAGTTATTAAAAACAGAATTAATTATATGGTTTTATTTTAAAGCCTTCACTTGAAATAAAAACTTTAGAAAAGATCAACAAATAAAGGTTATTCAATGTAACACTTTTTATTGCATTCAAATTGTTAAAACATTAAAATAGCCGTGGTCAAGTTGTAAAGAAAAAAAGCTATATATTATATATATATATATATATATATATATATATATATATATATATATATATATATATATATATATATATATATATATATATATATATATATATATATATATATATATATATATATATATATATATATATATATATATATATATATATATATATATATATATATAAAGAAAAAAAAAAGAATATTTTTTAAAATTTATTATTTTTGAGTAATGATATGTGTTTAAGCTTGATATGATTTATTTTTTATTTTAATATTGTACTTTTTGTGACTTGATGTTTGTGTGTGTGACATGTTTATATTTGTGAGTATTATTGAATATTTTTTGTTTTGTTTATTTATTGTTATTTTTTAATGAAGTATTTATTTTACTTTTATTATTTTTATTATGATTATTGATATTAAGATTATTATATTTATAAAATCATTGTTATTTTTTTTTGCAGTAATTGTTTTAGTTACATGGTAGGTTGTTACGTTTTGTCAGTACATAACTGTTTGTAACTTTCCTGTCTGTGAATTATATTCAATTGTTGTTTTAAAATTGACACTGGTTTATTATCATATAATTTTCTTATTATTCTTATAACTTTTAATTTATCATCATTATTATTATCATTATTTTTTGTAATTATCAATCCTATTTCATGGTATTTACTTAAGATTAGTTTTTAACTATTTGTGCGGTATGTGGTGTAGTGGTAAAACACTCATGCGGTAGTGGTGTAGTGGTAAAACACTCGCTTCATAAGCGAGAGTTTCTGAGTCCGATCCCCACCACGTCCCTGGTAGTACCGCGCTCAACTTGTTTCTACGCGCAGCGGCCTTGTTCGTCAAGGTTCGTGTTTTGGAGTTAAAGAGTCGAGAGAGGGTTATAACCACTAATAAGTAGCCTCCTCGTCTGTAGTGGCCTTCTCGGCCTTGAGGAGGTAAATAACAAAAAAAAAAAAAAAAAAAAAAAATGCCTTAATTATAAGATCTTTTATATATTAAATATATAATAAATAGTTACACAACTTTTTAATATTTCATATATATTATATATGTTATTCCTACAGTTAAGTGGCATAAATTATTTTATTTTTTGGCTTATTGCACAATATTATCTTTTCCGTGGAGACTTTTTAAACATAAAGGAATACTTATTGGTTTCACATAAATTGTCTATGTTATAGCCTGCTGCGGCAAGGTAGTGCCGCTACATTGACTAAGGGTTTGGCATGGGGCAGCAATCATATAAAGTCTCCACTGATGAGAGAGCTTAACTGTAGAATTACCCATATATATGTGTATATATATATATATATATATATATATATATATAATATATATATATATATATATATATATATATATATATATATATATATATATATATATATATATATATAGAAAAACCGTATTGTTAATGTAAAAGCTTTTACATTAACAATACGGTTTTAATAAAGTTTATCAGACACTCAGACTGTTTTTTAAAAATTATTGGTCTGTTTTATTTACGGATTTAAAACTATTTAATATTTAGTTGACATTGCTTTATTAAGATTTTTGATTTGAATGGTGTATACACATTATTAAAAAAAACTTTTAATTGTAAAACTAAAAAAAATTTACTTTTAATTTGAAAACTAAAAAAAATTATTGTTTAGTAAAAATTTAAAAACAATCACATTTTGTTTTATCACTCATAAAGATTATTAGAAGTACAAAATTCACACTTTGATAACCAAATATATATAAGCGAAATTATATAAATTTTTGTATATTTAACCAAATTTTTATTTTGTTTGAATTTGCAAAAGTGTGTTCAATGCACACTGCACTTCTTAAGATACAACTTGGTTGGTAATTATTGTTTCATAAAATTTCAATATATATTCAATTACTTGAAATCCTGATTGCTTTTTTTAAATGGAGCCCAAAGAACGATATATATTCTGTATATCTTCTGTTAAGTTTAGTTTATTAAATAATTTAAAAGTTTTTAAATTTATTTTTTAAAAGTAATCTTCTATTAGGGGGTTTAGTTTTAGTTTTAACTTTTTTTTTTATATTTCATATTTTTTTTTTTTTTTATAGATTATATTTTAAGAATGTCTTTTTTGTCTCAAAGTTTTTTTAATTAATTTTAGATAAAAACAGTTGATGTTAAAACAGCACGATGCACATCAACTGGTGATCCTCACATTACAACTTTTGATCAGTTTTATTACAATCATTACTATGTTGGAGACTATGTATTAATGCAAAGCACAGCAAGAAATTTCAGGGTAAAATCTTTGTTTTAGTAATAATTAGAACAGTTTAAAGTTTAAAAATGTAGCAAATATTTATTTGGTACATTAATATTATTTTATTATATAATATTGTTATATAATAAAATTTTTATAAGATCTAATGTGCTTTTTTTGTTTTGTTCAAACGTGTTTTTCAATTCAAAAAATTCACCATAATGATAGTTGTGACAAATACACATTTTTTAACATAGGTACATGTTCGAACATTTGCTTGTGGTTCTGTTTCTTGTAACTGTGGTGTAGCAGCACAAGAAGGTGATGATGTTATTGTAATAGATATGTGTAGAGATAGTGTTCCACGAGCTCGCTTTGCCAGTACTGTAGAACCTCAACCAGGAACATCAATTACAAGGAATAATAATGGAAAGAGTTTCACAGTAATATATTATTTTCATTTATTTATTATTTGAAATTTATTTTTAAAAATTTAATGAAGTCTTTACTAACCAATTTACTTTTACAAATGATTGAGTTTTAAAAATTTATTAAATTTTGAAAAATTGATATTTTGCTAAAGACTTGTTAGGTAGTTTTGTCTCATTAGGCAGTGTTGCATCTATTTGACATGCATGACTAAAAAACATACTTACAAACCATTGTTTTTTATTGTTAATTAAAGCTTTTACTCATTTAGTTAAACTTTTTTTTTTGGAAAAAGAATTAATAATAAAAAGCATTGAAAAATTCAAAAATGGTGATTTTTTATATAAAAAGAATGTTATTTTTTTAATTTTTCTATGATTTTGCTTTTTTTGAAACCTTGGATATTTATGTTTTGATAAAATTTCAAAATTATCCTGTAAAATGTTTAACGGTCTTGAGCAATCTCTGATGATAATTTAAGAAACTAAATTTTGAAATCTTATTTTGGTACATTTTTAAGAGATTAAACATTTTGAAGAGATTTTAGAGCACATTTTTCTTTCAAGTTTTGTTTTAAGAACCACCCTAATGTTTATATGAGAATGTTTTTATTTTCTTAATATTTTATTAATGTTTGTTTTAGTATTTTATTAGTAGGCAACTTTGAAAAAACCTAAAATTTAAAAATTTAATATTAATATTCTTTTACTAATTTATTATCTTCAAAGTTGTAATAAAATAAATACGATTATTTCAAAGGTCTAATATATGGAGTGACAGTGTAATTCATCTAATATACGGACTGACAATGTAATCTATCTAATACATGGACTGACAGTGTAATCCATGTAATATATGAACTGACAGTGTACCATAGTAGTCATAAAACATTTAGTAACCCTTATTTTACTTATCAATAGTCATTTTTTATGTCGTAAAATTGGTTTGTAGAAAAGTTAATAATTTTTATGAAATGTTCAACAGTTTTTGTAATAACTTTAAACTAAATTTTTTTTTTTTTACTTGTGACATATATATAATGAACAACTGTAAAAAAATTGTGGTGCAAAAACATGCTGCAACAGAATGTAAACCTCACCCAAATAAATAATTTGAAGCCAAATTTAATTGTGTTAGGCAATAAAAGAATTTATAACTAATTCTTGTCACTACTAGTTAAAGTAAATTTTAAAACTCTAGTTTTGTTATAAAGTTATTTTTTTTTAATGGTTTTATTTTTTTTACAGGTAAGTTTTTCATCTGGTGCTTATGTTAAGTTTAATGCTTTTCATTGGTATGGGAAGTTTTACTATGCCAACATTGAAGTTCAAGTACCTTCAGATGACTTTAATAGTACGCAAGGTTTATGTGGCACTTTTGACAAAAACAAAAGTAATGATATGACTGCAAAAAATGGACAAATATATGCAATAAAGCAAGGACAAATTGCTAATCTTATGTTCACTGAAAGTTGGAAGTAAATTGTTTTTGTTTTTCAAAAAAAAATTTATAACGTTTTGTTGCTGTATAATACAATTAAATTTTTAATAATTTTATTATTGATCTTGTAGAACTAACATTTTCTTATACTTATATAGGCTTAATGTTTCTGCAGAAAACTTGTTTTACTTTAAAGGAGGGCCTCGCAAGTGTACTGCAACACGAGCTAAGAGTTACTGTACTTGTAGTGAATCTTGTTCCGGAGCCAAACGAAAAATTAATTGTGATTATGAAGGTTATTCTGACCGCCCAAAATACATTCATGGAGTTATTGGATGGAAGAAGTTAGAATTTCCTGGTACAATACTTTTGAACTACTTACACTACTAAATGACTTTTTTTTTTTAATTGTGCATGTACATTTATTTTATATTATTTTTATTTGAAGTTTATATTAGTCATTAAGAAATTAGTCTGCTCATATCTACCTATTATTTGGAATTTATATATATATTTCTTAGGAGCTGAACACTGTGCTCGTCGCAAACGCAGATCTATGGATGATAATGTTATTATACTTCCTGATGATGGTAATACGGGAGTTTATGACTACAATCCCAATCAGGTTTTTGGCAATGTTACAAGTTTTCCAACAAAATCTGGTATCACTGAAGAAAAAGCAAAAGATAATTGCAAAAGCAAAATTCGTAACTCTATTGCTGGCAAGGCTTGTATAGATGTCATTGGACCTTTATTTAAAACAGATGATTATGAACAACAATGCGTCATTGATATTCAAGTGAGTTAAAAGTCATTAATTGCTTTGGTAATTTTTTTATATTTAATTTTTTTATGAGCAGCCACTTACCCAGGTGTTTCCTAAAAAGCTGTGGGAATAAGGGAATGTGGAAAAAAAATTAGGGTTTTAGAAGTTAGGGTCAAAATCATTGTGATCAAAGCTTATAATAAAGAGAAAAAATAATTAATTTCATTAAAAAAAAAAGTTAATACTTTGAAAGGCCTGTTTAAATTTTAAAATTTTGATATTAATTGAATTTTAAAGGGATCCCAAACTTTCGAGAAATGTTGTGTTCATATTAAAGAGAATGATAAAAAAAAAAATTGTTTAAGCTAAATTTTTTTGATTAAAACAAAAGGATAAATGCATACCAAGAGAAACTAACTTTTTTATTTTAGTCAAAGCTCACCTTCTACGTTTTGTTGTAGGCCAAATAGTCTTCATAATATACGCTGCAGTCTACAGACTTAATAATTTATTCAAGCGCATTTTATTTGTATAAGTTAGTACATGATTTAATTGATTTGTTTGTTTGTTTAAAAAATCGACCTTTTAAACAAACAGAAAAATCAATGATGTCATGTTCTAAAATTCATAAGAATAAAACTCGCTTGAATAAATTATCAAGTCTGTAGATTGTGGCGTATATTATGAAAACTATTTGGCCTACAACAAAATGTAGAAAGCGAGCTTTGACTAAAGCAAAAAAGTTAGTTTATCTTGATATGGATATATCCTAAAATTTATATCTCACTTACAAAAATCATCCTTAAATTTATATATAATTATTTTCAAAGTTTAAAAGATCTTTTTTTTTTTCTTATCTTGTACAAGATGCATTTAGTATTTTTTAAATAATCATGCTTTTCTTATTTTAGTAAAAAAAGATTATAAAATAAACATTTTTGATGTTTATTAAAAGTTATAAACATTTTTGATGTTTATAAAAAACTAACTTTCATAATTAAATGATCAATTAATCATATATTTCTGATCAAGGATAAATACAAAGAGTTTAAAACTAATTTAAAGTAAAAACCTGATGAAAATGACATCAAATAATATTAACGATCCAATTAATAATATTAATAATAATAACAATAAAATGACAACAATTATAATAATAATGGTATTATTAATAATGATAACCAAAAGTTATGAACACCAATAATAAAAATAATAAGTTGTAATAAAAATAAATTATTATTAGATTTCTAAACAAAGACTAAATATTATATACACAGATAAGAAAAAGTTACAAAAAGTTAAAACTGATATAAAGTAACAACCTACTGTAAGATAAAAAGCAGTTATTATAAAGAAACTGATAATGAATAATGAATATTTATAACATTTATAATTAAAATAAAAACTATATAAGTAATATAATAATATGATATATCACCTTAAATGAATAACAAATAATATTTACAAAATCTAAACAAAAAAACACAAACAAATACTAAACATAAAATGAACTTATAAGTATTAAGAAACTAAGATAATAACTACACAAATAATAACTAAAAAAAAAAATAAGTAAAAAGATAAAAACAGCAACAATACAAAAAACTCTTGCAGAAAGTAGAAAGTTAAAAAAAAAAAAAAATGTTGATATGAATAGTAATCACAAAAAAAAAAAAAAAAAAAAAAAAAAAATCCATCCTAAAATTTACAGAAACCAGTATTGTATAATACTAATACAAAAGAACATTCTTTAAAACTTATTGTTAATTATTTCAATATTCTTTTTTTTTTCTTTTTCTTTTTCTTTTTCAACCTTTTCATGTTTGTTTTTTTCTTTTTTTCTTTAATCATTATATTAAATCGTTGTTTCGCTTTTCTAATATTGTTTTTCCCTAGTGGGAAGTTATTTTTATTTTTTATAAAATATTCCTTTTTATTGACTTTTATAATCTTTTGTTTTTGTTTGTTTTCTTTTATTTAGTCACTTTCTCTTTGTTCTTTACTTAAGTTTATATGAGTAATATTAATCAAAATAATTGTGCTTTATACAACATAACGGGTGACAACTATAAAACAAGACTGGATTTAAAGACACAAATCTCCTTAAAGGAATAAGACTAAAAATAGGGAAACTGTTTTAGAAGGTATTTTTATTCTAGTTTTTAAATATTTTGTGTTTTTATTTTTTTTATTGAAAAATGATTAAAAAAATAAATTCAAGACAAAAAGAGATTAGAAAACATATGTATGAATTTTATTTAAATTACAAAAATGCTGGTAAAAAGTTTACTTATGGCTACTTTAAAGTTGAGAACCTAAAAGTACTATCTACAAGCTAATTAAACGTGCTGAAAGTAAATCTGGGTACTAAAGAGTTCAAGGAAGTGGAGTAAAAGCTAAAAAAATGATCAGGTTAAACATTGAAAGGCTCAAACTCATGTTTGACCATAAAGACAGAGTTTCTCAACGACAGGCTGCTGAAAAGTTCAACTGTACTCAGCAACACATTAGTAAAACATTAAAAAAAAGAACAAATACTAAATCAAGAAAAAAAATGGTAATTCCAAAATGCTCTGACCGGATAAAGCAGTAGCTAGAACTAAATGCAGGTGATTGTGTCAGAAATTCAAAAATCGTAAACCAATCATTGACAATTTCACGTTAAATTACTCCAATATCAATGGAAATGGTATATTTTATACTAGTGATGTAAAATCAACTCTATCTACAGTTAGTTTTAAAAGTTTTAAAAGAAATTATTTATATAAATTGCTTTTTCTGAAAATGGAATTTCTCAACCTAATTTTGTACCAAGTGGACTGGCTGTAAATCAAGTAATCTATTTAAACAAATGTATTAAGAAGAGACTTATTCCATTCATCAATAAGCATCATTGAGATGGTGCATATGTATTCTGGCCAGAATTAGCATCATCTCACTCTGCAAAAACAGTGATCATGTACCTAAACGAGGAAAACGTGCATTATGTTGAGAAGGCGGATAACCTTGCAATCATGCCAGGATGTTGCCCTATCAAAAATTTTTGGAGTATTTTGAAAGGTCTTGTCTACAAGAACAATTTGCATGCAGAAAATCTTAAAAAATTACGTTTTAGAATTAAGTATTACCTTAATAAAATTGAGATTGAGTTCATACCGAGACTAGCTCAGTCTATACCAGGCTTAGTTGATAAAGTCAATAGAAATGGTTTAATTGAGAATAACTGATTATATATTTAAAAACTAGAGTAAAAATACTTTCTAGAACATTTTTCCTTTTTATTTTATCTCATTTCTTTAAAGAGAAATGTGTCTTTAAATCCAGTCTTATTTTTTAGTTGTCACATGTTAAGATACAAAGTATATAAGTTTCATAATATTATATGCAAAAAAAAAGTAAGTATTATTGATATCTTGAAAGACAATTTAAAATTGAGATAATTTTGTAATGTGGTTTTCTATTTTTAACAAATTGGTTATTGCTTTGGTTTTACAGAGGCAATGTTTTACCCATTTTGAATTTTTGTAATGTTTGCATTTATATTTTGAATATTATGTTTCTAAATTGGTGCTTTTTGTGCATTTCTTTCATATTTATGAAAATTGTTTTTCACACGGATTCTTTTGCTTTGTATTAACAATACCATAACAAACTGACCATATGTAAAATTATAACCTGGTAAATATATACAGAGTATAAACTTTGGCTATTCAATATTTGGTTTAATGGTCATCTCCTTTAACTTTAAATCATTAGAATCAATTAGTAAATCAGTCGAATCACTACAATTGATTAACAAAATTTACGATTGAACTTTGTTTTTTTTTTATGTTTAAAATTCAGTTTGTTTTATTTTTTTTTAATTATAAAAAATATTTGGTGTTTATCAGTTAGCATTAAAGAGTATCTGGTACTCATCAGTCAGCATTAGAAAATATTATCTTATTAAAATATTACGTAAATAAAAATTTGAGCGAAATCGCTAAAATTTTTATTTACATAAAGCTGAGCAATTTACTCCAAATATGTTGAGTAAAAAATATAAAACAAGTTGAGTGTGGTACTGCTAAGAAATGGGATCAAACTATTAATCTAATATGAATTGTATTTTACAGTTTAATGATTTGAAGTTCTTTAAGATGCTTAAGATAACTTTGAAAAAAAATTGTGATGTCAGAATATTGTAGAATAAATTTGTGCATTTGAATATAATGGAGAAACTGGGGAATAGTGATGCACCAAAAAGATAAGTTAATAGTAAAGTTTAATTGGTTAAGTTATTAAATCAAAATATTAAGTTAAAAGTCTTCTAAAATTTTTTATTTTTTTAGAATTTCTAGAATTGTATTATTCTTATATTATTATTTTTATTCTAGTATTAGTGAATCAAAAAATTTTAATTTTTTAAATTAGCTTTAGAGGTAAATCTATATTAGATATTAGATCTATAAATATTCATATGTAGTAAATTTTTTGGAGCTATTATTTTCAAATAACTTTACTAATTTGTTTAATGAAAAACGAGTGCTATATTGTCAAGATAATCAGGACAGAGTTCATTTTTTTGAGAATATTTTCATGGAAGCATCTTTCCATTACAACTATTGTTTTTTACACATGGTGGTATTCTGATTTTATTTTTATTGATGAACAGATTTTTGCTGTTATTATTTTAACAAATTATTATTATTTAAAACTAGTTTGGATCCAATAAACATCTTTAGGTAACAGATAATGAAAAAGTAGGAGTTGAATCTGCTATAAATAACTTAATCAGTGCCTGTGAAGAGCTTACTTTGAGAAATTTATCTTTCTGGGAAAGTGGTGATGGAAACATTACTGGACCACCAGTAATAATTGGACAAAGTGTGTGTCCCAATGAGTGTAACGGAAATGGAATATGCAAAAATGGTACATGCATCTGTAATTCTGGCTTCATAACATCTGACTGCTCTCTAAAAGAAGGTTTTATTATTTTATTTTTTTTGTCTTAAAGCTTTAAAATGTTTATTGTTTAATTATTATAACTAACTATCCAGACCCGTAAAAATCTGGGTCATATTTTAAAAATGCTGAAAATATTTAGCGAAAAATATCCAGAATATATTTTGCTTTGCATTTGTCTTCATTTTGCGTTAAACTTATTAGTTTTTTTGAAACTCAATATTTGTGTAGGAAAAGGTAGGACTGAAAAGGTTAATAAACAGATATATTTATAAACTATATATTTAAACTTGTGTTCACTGAAAACGTTTTAAAAAATCCGTAAAAACAGAAAGTCTTAAATTTACAGTATGTAAATATGTATGTAAATATGTTAAATATGTAACAAAGTAAAAAAAGTTATATTTTTGTAACAAATCAAAAAACAAAAATATAAATTTAAAACAACATTTTTCAATTTCCTTAGAAACATTGAAGATATTCTTTTTAAAGGTACTTTTCAAAATCAGTTATAACAGCCAGGATCTACAAAATGGGAAAACTAAGCACAGCCTATTATAAAGAAAACCATATGATAATAATTAAAAGTATAGATATTGTATGGCGATGATGATTAAAGATGTATCAATAGTTGCCTGATTTCATTAGGTATAGCAAGTTAAAAAAAAGTTGAAAACATCTGAAATGAAATAAAATAACAGACTGATAAAAACTACCTTATTATGATTTCATTTTTGCTATGGAATCAATTTTGAAACTATTTTTAAACCTTTATTAAAAAAACAACTATAAAATCTCATCATATGAGCAAAACTATTAACAACACTAAAAAATTTTTAAAATTTTAAATTTAAATAATTTAAGATAAAAAATTTATTTTAGATTAAAACAATTGTAACAATAGTAATACTAAATGTTGTCTTGGCTTTTAGTGAATGATTAAATACAGTTAGGTCAAGTAATGAAACTATCTATAACATTTTTAACAATAGATACCAAGGGAAAGCCAAGCTGTCTATCAACACAAAACATTACAACAATAGCATTACTACAATTACGCAGAGCAATAGCAGACAGCATAACAAGATGTTGGCCAGAAAAAAATTAATACAATGTTTTTGGGGTATTGGGAATTTCGGTGTGGGCTCAAAAAAAAAAGGTCATTGCATTCTGACATAAAAAAAAGTTTAAGGAAACTCATATAGGTCTTTTTTATATATATATATATATATATATATATATATATATATATATATATATATATATATATATATATATATATATATATATATATATATATATATATATATATATGTATGTATATATATGTATATATATATATGTATATATATATGTATATATATATATATATATATATATGTATATATATATATATATATATATATATATGTATATATATATTGTATATGTATATATATATATATATATATTTATATATATATATATATATATATATATATATATATATTATAATATATATTAATATATATATAGATCTATATATATATATATATATATATATATATATATATATATATATATATATATATATATATATATATATATATATATATATATATATATATATAGATCTATATATATATATATATATATTTATATATATATATATATATATATATAATATATATATATATATATATATATATATATATATATATAAATATATATATATATATATACATATACATATATATATATATATACATATATTATATATATTTACATATATATATACATATATATACATATATATATATATATCCTTATAGTGTAGTCGAAAGAGTCGTTTAATTAAAAAAAGTCTCTTACAACTACAATTTTAATTACCTCGTCTCTTAAGCTGTATTTGATTGTCTTCGAAATGTCAAAGCAATTAAATTAATGCGGAAGTACATTAAATTTTATTGTTTTTTAAAAAATTTTTAAAAAACCGCAATAATAACGACTAGAAAGTTTTTTTTAATTTGTAGTGTTTTTATTGAAAAATATTTTTAAAACATGCGTAAATGTTGCTACATCGACTATCTTATAGCCTGACTCGCAACAGAGTGCTGCTACATCGACTGACAAATAGCCTGACTTGCAACGGAGTGCTGCTACATCAACTGAAAATTAGCCTGACTCGCAAGGGAGTGCTGCTACATCGACTGACAAATAGCCTGACTCGCAAGGGAGTGCTGCTACAACGACTGACAAATAGCCTGACTTGCAACGGAGTGCTGCTACATCGACTGAGGGCATCAACGGAGTGCTGCTACATCGACTTTATGTATATTTAATTATCTTCTCTTATGGTTTTATGCAAATATAACATAATTGAAACATTTCATTGCAAGTTTCATTTTTGATATTTGTTGTTGGTGTTGTTTTGGGTTTACTTCACCAGCAAATTTAGTTTAACAGATTTTTTTTAAACACTTTAAATAAAAAACATTAATAACTTTAAAGTATATTACTTAATATGAAAAAGTTTTTGTAATTTTCCTAACTTAAGATAAGCAGTAAAAATGTAAAGAGTTTTTGAATAACAAGAATAAAATTAAAAAATGATTTATTAAACATATTCAAAAATCTAAACTGAGAAAACTGAGGTCAATTAAAAAAAAAAAAAATTTAACCTTTGAATGATCTTGCTTGTTAAAAAAAAATGGAGCCAGCAAATTTAGCTTAACAGATTTTTTTTAAACACTTTAAATAAAAAACATTAATAACTTTAAAGTATATTACTTAATATGAAAAAGTTTTTGTAATTTTCCTAACTTAAGATAAGCAGTAAAAATGTAAATAAAGAGTTTTTGAATAACAAGAATAAAATTAAAAAATGATTTATTAAACATATTCAAAAATCTAAACTGAGAAAACTGAGGTCAATTAAAAAAAAAAAAAATTTAACCTTTGAATGATCTTGCTTGTTAAAAAAAAAAATGGAAGCAACTCAGATGACAATGGTTTTTTACACTTTAAAATGGATTGATCAACTAGTTTGATATCTTGGTTGTGCATACTAATTACATTTTCTACTTGTCTAGAGTGGCAATTTTTTTTTGAATTTTAAACCATTTAGGAATTTTTTGTTATACACAATGTCATCAAGCTGACTAACACCAACCATCGGAATTAGAAAAAATTAGTTCAGCATCAAATTGCTGAACTTATTGTCTACATTGCTGAATGCCTACCCTAATTCTGAGGGTTGCTAACACCCTGCATAAGATATTAATATTAACAGACATTATGTGTTTTTTAAACAGTTATAAACGGCTAGACATCAGAACCTAAATATACAACAGTAATACCTCTTGGTACTAAATCCTGTCAAACCTCTGCTAAGTATATTGCTTGGCTGGCATAGCTTTGTTAGCAATCTTGCTTTACGCTATTTTATATTTTTGTAAAAAAAATAGAATTTTAGTTATAAAATATAGCAGGCTAGTATTGCAGTATCTCTACACATGCTGCAAGTCACTTGCTTGGCTAGTTTAACAGCTTAACTCTACACACTTGGCAAGTCACAACACTTAATTGGCTAGTTTAATGACCTAGCTCTACACTATTGGTTATGCATTATAAACACTAATTTTTTCAATCAGTTTAAATCAGTTATAACAGCAGGCATAATTAAGAAAAATGGAGTTTACAATAACAAAATTGCCTTTATTAATTTTCTTTATAAAAAATGTGGTGTTTAACAGTAAAATAATATTTGTTTATAAATTAAGTATATTCTACAATAAAACAATGTTTGTATATCATTTAATAATTCATTCAAAAGTTATTTTATTTTGTTAATAAAACATTTGGAAATTTATATAAATTTAAATAAAAATTGGAATATTTGAATAATAAGCTTTGAGAAATTTCTAAGTAACATAGTTAAACAACCAATTTTTAATTTTAAACAGTTAGGGCCTAAAGGAGCTAATTTGTTCAAAATCTTAACAGGAAAGTTATTTCTTTCATTGAGGTCATCAATGTCAATTTGATTGGCACCTAAATAAGTATCTTCTTCTGCCCATAGATTTTCAAGCTCTTCTTTATTGATTGATAATAAATACACAATTGTAGGTGTTATAATCATATGTTTAGAATAATCATTGTTTAGCATCTCTAAATGTCTTTCCAAAAATCAAGTCATTTTCTATAATAATGCACTGATGCAGTATTTCAATGTATCTTTTAAAAGGATCTTTGACAGGTATTGTTCCACTTCCAAGTTTAAATAGCCATGAGGAAATTTCTCCTTCCCCATCATATACTCTCATATTTTTAGTTAATACACCCATTACCACTGTAAATACATTTTATACACAAGTCTACAATTTAGGCTGGTTGCCTTCATTTCACAACATGCAGTATATGCCTAAAGTCACACCAAAAAGAATGACTCTTCCTTTAAACGGAAATTTGCTGTCGTAAATATCTTTTAACAATCTATCTATCAATTGCGTTTAACGCATTTTTAGATATCATGGATGTTTTATCAAGAAAAAACAAAGAAAATTTCCATAGGTCACATTATGTTATGTGTGCTTTTATCCATTATTGGGAAGTTTGAAAAAGCCATGTTATGTAGGTCTATTTGTAAGAAGAGTTGTTGCTGTGCTAGTTCATGCAGTTGTAGCAGATTTAAAACCCTTATTTATTGTATTAGCAAAAAAATAATTGAAAATAAAAATTTTTCCACTACCAGAAAATCCATCCATGAAAAATAACTATGATTAGTTTATCCACAGGTAGCATTTGTTTCTTAAGTGTCCCAATATGCCCCACTTTACCCTACTTCTTTTTTACAATTTGTTGATGATTAATTTGATCTCGCTTAGCTCTATTTCTTTAACTTTGATTTTGATTATTATCAACTTGCCTCACCACAATATCCTCTTGTCAACAAATAAGTTAATTATTTTTTATTTTTTATTAGTTATTTATTTTTTATTATCTTGTCAACAAATAAGTTAGTTATTTATTATTTAGTTATTTTTTCATGTTTAATACTTAAATAAAGTTCGAACTTAAAATAAAACTGGAAATTAAACTTAATTAAATCAGAATCAGTTTTACTGTCTTAAAAAGTTATTCTTATGAACCATTCTAATAACAAAAAAGAGGTACAAAGCGATTTGAAAAACTTAAAAGCACTATTATCAGAATTATCAGCTTTAACTTACTTTATACTAACTTCTAACCTTGCTTGAATGAACAAGTGAATTTAAAGAAATGTGTTTAGAAAAACCTAGAAATTTCTAAAAAATGACTTAATGCAACTTAAGCGGCAAAGGAAAGACACTATAATTAAAATGATACTAGGTTTATTTGTAAAAAAGTTAAGTGCAGTGTTTCCTTGGGCATGGTGGGTTTGAACTCTGTCTTCTTGCTTATGAAGCAAACAACCCACCTATGCAACTACAGCAGTTTTAACTAATATAATGTTTTTAAATTTTTTTAGGGCAATCTCCACTTTTATTTGGCATACCAAACTCAGGACTCTGCGATATTCGGGATCAAGATTGTGTTCGTACTCGTGTTACAGGAATGGACTTTGTTGATTCAAATTCTCTTTCATGTAAGATGACAGAAATGAAGGTGAATAAAATAAATATTTATGTTAATGTATTAAATGCATTAATATATAAATAAAGTATTTATATAGCAATGCATTAAATTTATATGAAACAGCATTTTCTTGCATAGTAATGCAATAGCAATAGTAACATATATGAAAATGTGTTTTCTAGAATAGTAATTGATTTTTGTCATGGAATAGTTTTATTTATTTTTTTACTTTTTTTTTTGTGATTATTTCTTATTCAATGAAAAGGTTTTCCTGCAAAGAACTTTATCAGTTTTAAAGATTCCTCAGTTTACCCTAAATATTACTTTATCTATTACTTTATCTGCTAGTGAAACACTTTGATCCACACCGAATGTTTTTTTCTTAACTTTGATCCACACCGAATGTTTTTTTTCTTTACTTTGATCCACACCTAATGTTTTTTTTTAACTTTGATCGACACCTAATGTTTTTTTTCTTTACTTTGATCCACACTTAATGTTTACAATCTATTGTTTTGACTATTGGTGGTGAATCCATATTTTATAAAAGATTTGAAATACTTTTGTATACTGTTCTTTACTGTTGTAAGTAAAATTGAAGAGTATTAATACATTTATAATAGTTCTTCATGTTATTTTGCATTTTCACCTTCCAAAAACAAGAATTGAAGTGGATTACTCAATTTTTAATTTTTTTATTGTGTAATTAACATTAACAAATATAAGTTAATATAAAAGCTGCAGCAGTTTAAATATAGCATACTTATTAACTTTTTATATATGTAATTCTAGAAAATCATTTAAAAGTTTACCTATTAAAATAGTTTTAACAATACCATGGTTTTATATGTTGCACGGATTTTCTCTGACTAAAAAGTGTCCATAATACAATTTATGAACTATAAATCAAGCTCTTTTATCAATCATACAATTATTGGTATATTTGTGAAAATAATTTTAAAACAAATTTGCTGAAATATTTTATTAGATTTTTGCTTCACTTACTCTAAAATATCTTGAACAACCCAATATTGGTGTAGTTCTTGTGAAATAAATCGTTAAACTTTTTCTTTAAATTAAACTTTGATTTTATAATATAGGAATTCAAATTGTCAATATAATTTCTAATGATTTAATAAGTCAAAACTCAATGAATTATTATTACAATTGAATTGATTAAATCTAAAACTAATAAAATCAAAAACCATAGAATCAAGTACTCTAATGTTTTAAAGAATCAAGTACTTTAAAGCTTTTCACAAAGAAATTACAAAGGGTGTCTTTTATTTCACAAAGAAGTTACAAAGGGTGTCTTAAATTTCACAAAGAAGTTATAAAGGGTATCTTAAATTTTTTAGTAAAACTTATTCCAGTAGTAATAGTAATAGATAAGTAATATTTTGTACAGAACACAGGTCTGATTAAAGTCATAAAATGACAATAGGCAACTATCTTCTGAGGTGTCAAGCATTAGTTTGGTTGATTGATTAACAGTTAATTTTTTAATTGTTGAGTATGTTTTCTTTGATAGGCAACACAATTACTAAATTCCTTTTAATTTGCATTTTTAATTTTTTTTAATTTTAAATAAGACAAGATGTTTGCATATGGTTAGTACAGGTTTCCCACTGCACTAATCTCTTTAAAAACCGTAAATATCCTTAAAAAATAAAAACCTCCTTAAATGTCCTTAAATAACCTTAAAAAAAGTTAAAATTGCACTCCTTAATTTCTCCTTTTTTTTTATATATATAATAATCTAAGAAATTTTATTAAAGTGAATGGATTATATATAATAATAAAGAAGAAAATATATAGTTCTTTGATAGTTGCAAACCTATATTTTATTAAACCTATATTTTATTAAACATATATTGATATTTATATATATATATATATATATATATATATATATATATATATATATATATATATATATATATATATATATATATATATATATATATATATATATATATATATATATATATTATTGTTTACAACCAAATTTCCTCAAATATTAGGATAATATCTCCTTAAATCTCCTTAAAATCCTTAAATTTAACCTCAGTTTAAATAGTGGGAACCTGTAGCAATTTTGTAGCTCTAATTTTTATTTTCTGCATGATTAATTCATTTTTTTTGTAAGATGACCAAGTACAGATTACATATTCCAGTTTAGGTTTGATGTATGTTTTGTATAACTTTGTCCATAACACTAAATTCGAACAATTTTTTTTGTATTTCATGAATTATTTGATGAAAATAATTAGCATATATTGAAATATACACTATTGGACAAAACATTTGCAACCAACATTGAACAAAGCTAAAAAGTGTTCCTAATTTTACATGTCTTAAAAAAAACTATACTACCACAGCAAACAGTTCAGGAGTCTGGAGTCATAGCATGCCATAACATGAGCAATCAGCTGACAGGTGACAGTACACAGGCAGAATTTCTTTGACAAGTGCCATTTTGCAGCAAACAAAACAAGTGCAACTTTTTTGGTTTGTTTCATTTTCTTAAGTCTGGTCGGTGTCAACGACATGGAAGTTTTTTAATAATTAAAGGAGGTATCCAGAAGTTTCCAGAAGCATGCAGAAGCTTCCAGAAGTTTTCAGAAGAAACATCTGGAAGCATCCAGCAGCATCCAGAAGTATCCAGAAACATTCAGGAACATCCAGATGCATCCAGAAGCATCGAAAAGAAGCATCTAGAATCTTCCAGAACAGGTTCATACAGGTTCATTTACTATATAAGAGACATGTAAACCGACATGTAATTCAGTCAGTATATGGAAGTCAATCAGTCAGTATTATCAAGACAGTTTATTGAAGTGAGTTTTATCAAAGTGTTTTATCAAAGAACATCAATACGAGAAGTGAAATACATCAAGCGTTTCATTACATCAATACAGTCCACATCCAACCAAGGCGTTGTGTTCCACAAAGCATTATTGTATCATCACAAGGTAAATGTAACACGGTAAACCTTGAGAAGCATGATTATTTATTTTTATTATTTTTATGACTTCAAGAGCAAAAATGGCTCCCAACAGTCTTGGATTGGAACTAAGAAAGAAAATTGGCGATTACATAAGTGGAATGTCATAAAAAAGTATTTGTGATAAATATCGCATGAAAAAATGGACCGTATCAAGACTATGTTCCAAATATTGTTCTACCTGGAAGTTGGCAGCAGATAACAAAGGTGGAAGGCCGCGTTCTACCATTTCTAGAGAGGATTCTATGATCATCAGTTCTGTCATAAAGGATCCCTGGATATCATCAGTCGAGATACAAAAGCAATTAGAGCTGCCTGTATCGGACCAAACAATCAGACGGCATGCTGTTGAAGCCGGATTGTTTTCTCGACGCCCTGCAAAGAGGCCGTTGATTTCACTAAAGAACCAGAAGAAAAGACTCATGTTTTCTACATCTCATATTGACTGGAATGTGCAGAAATGGTGAACTGACCTGTTCATTGATGAATCAAAGTTCAACATCATTGGGAGATGATGGGTGATGGCATTTGCCGTGTACATTGACCAGCCGGAAAACGCCTCAATTTACGTTACTGCCATAAGATTGTGAAGCATGGTGGAGGCAATGTAATGGTCTGGGGGTGTTTTTCTGCTAATGGTCTAAGTCCAATACATCGAATCAATAGAATAATGGACAGTTTTATGTATAAAAATATCCTATGATATTATGTTACCTCATAAGATAGATATTATGTTACCTCATGCTGAATGGAATATGCCAATAAAATGGGTTTTTCAGCAAGATAACGATCTGAAGCATACTGTAAAAGTAGTCGAGCAGTGGTTTCAAGACAACCACTTATCGGTGATGGATTGGCAGCCTCAATCTCCGGATCTCAACCCTATCGAGAACCTGTGGGAGATCGTCAACTGCAGATTTAATAGTGAAGGTGTTCGTAATAAGGATTAACTGTTTAAACAAATCCAAAAGACCTAAGCAGCGATTCCACAAAGTTTCATTGATCACCTGATCAAATCTATACCTTGAAGATGCAAGACTGTGATCGACAACAAAGGATTCTCCACAAAATATTGATAACGAAATACAGCTTGTTCAACATTTTGTGGAGTTGCACTTGTTTTGTCCAGAAGGAAATCAATCTTTTTAAATACTTATGATTAATTTATTAATTTTCGTGTACAAATAATGAACTTTGTGATGAATAAAACTTGAAGAACGTTGTCCCTAAACAGTTACATAGTTATTTCTCTAAATTGAAAAAATACAGCACTTTTATATAAAGAAACTAAATTAGCATTATTTGGTTGCACTTGTTTTGTTCGATACTGTATACACAAAAATCTCTTTCTTCATCTGATTTTTCCGATTTTGTAACTAAAACTATTTATTGTGTCATGAAGTGATTAGTTTTGGTGGGTTGGTATTTTCAGTATGCATAATTTTATATTTGCCTAGACTGAGCTTTATTAACCTATGCCTAGTTTTTTGTTAAGTATTCCCTTGTTGCATAGTTACAGTTATTTAGTTACTTATACTTAAGAATTACATATCATTTAAGATTTTATATTTAAAAAAATATATTTTAGTCTATTAAATATCTAAATTTTGAATATTAGCAACACAACGTATTTAGCATTTTCAAATATTTGCTTTATATGCCAATATAAAGTATATAGAAGGTTGTTTTTGCAATTGTTTAGTTGATTTGTCACTTTTCAAAGTTAGTTAATGAATGCCAAAATTCCAGTTAATAAAAGAGTTGTTGTTTTTATAAGGAAAATGTTTGTTTTTTTTTTACTAACAATAAAACAGCAACAGTTTCCATTAGATCTCCTGTTAGTGGAGTTCATGATATACTAATCATGATGTTATTTTTCCATATTTCTATATAGAAACACTTTATTTAAATCTAATTGTTTTTCTATTTATAGCATACATAATAATATAAGTAAATAATTGTTTTATTACTGGGAACAATTTGTTTTTCTCCAATTGAATAATATTTGACTTTTTGGAAATTAGTAATGTAGACTCAGCTTAAGTAAAGTCAAAACATCACAAGTCTAAGTTTTTTTAAAAATCCTTAAAATATACCACTTTTTTGAAAAAAAGTTCAAAGTTTCATATATATAAGCTCACTGCATAATCATATCATAAGATGATTGCATTAAGTTAAAGATGACACATATTTATGAAAATAATAAATATAACTTAATTTAAATATGATCTTGAGGCAGTAAAAATTTGTTGAAATAATGTAGACTTTTTTTTAATTATACAGTATCGGACAAAACAAGTGCAACCAAATAATGCTAATTTAGTTTCTTTATACAAAAGTGCATTTTTTCAATTTAGAGAAATAACTATGTAACTGTTTAGAGACAACATTCTTTAAGTTTTATTCATCACAAAGTTCATTATTTGTGCACGAAAATTAATAAATTATTCAAAAGTATTTAAAAAAGTTGATTTCCTTATGGACAAAACAAGTGCTCAAAATGTTCAAAACTCCACAAAATGTTGACCAAGCTGTATTTCGCTATCAATGTTTTGTGGAGAATCCTTTGTTGTCAATCACAGCCTTGCATCTTAGAGGCATAGATTTGATCAGGTGATCAATGGAATTTTGTGGAATCGCTGCTTTTGGATTTGTTCAAACAGTTGATTCTTATTATGAACACCTTCACAATTAAATCTGCAGTTGACGATCTCCCACTGGTTCTCGATAGGGTTGAGATCCGGAGATTGAGGCTGCCAATCCATCACCGATAAGTGGTTGTTTTGAAACCACTGCTTGACTACTTTTGCAGTGTGTTTCAAATCGTTGTCTTGCTAAAAAACCCATTTTATTGGCATATTCCATTCAGCATGAGGTAACATAATATCTATCTTATGAGGTAACATAATATCATAGGATATTTTTATACATAAAACTGTCCATTATTCTATTGATTCGATGTATTGGACTTAGACCATTAGCAGAAAAACACCCCCAGACCATTACATTGCCTCCACCATGCTTCACAATCTTATGGCAGTAACGTAAATTGAGGCGTTTTCCGGCTGGTCAATGTACACGGCAAATGCCATCACTCCCAATGATGTTGAACTTTGATTCATCAATGAACAGGTCAGTTCACCATTTCTGCACATTCCAGTCAATATGAGATGTAGAAAACATGAGTCTTTTCTTCTGGTTCTTTAGTGAAATCAACGGCCTCTTTGCAGGGCGTCGAGAAAACAATCCGGCTTCAACAGCATGCCGTCTGATTGTTTGGTCCGATACAGGCAGCTCTAATTGCTTTTGTATCTCGACTGATGATATCCAGGGATCCTTTATGACAGAACTGATGATCATAGAATCCTCTCTAGAAATGGTAGAACGCGGCCTTCCACCTTTGTTATCTGCTGCCAACTTCCAGGTAGAACAATATTTGGAACATAGTCTTGATACGGTCCATTTTTTCATGCGATATTTATCACAAATACTTTTTTATGACATTCCACTTATGTAATCGCCAATTTTCTTTCTTAGTTCCAATCCAAGACTGTTGGGAGCCATTTTTGCTCTTGAAGTCATAAAAATAATAAAAATAAATAATCATGCTTCTCAAGGTTTACCGTGTTACATTTACCTTGTGATGATACAATAATGCTTTGTGGAACACAACGCCTTGGTTGGATGTGGACTGTATTGATGTAATGAAACGCTTGATGTATTTCACTTCTCGTATTGATGTTCTTTGATAAAACACTTTGATAAAACTCACTTCAATAAACTGTCTTGATAATACTGACTGATTGACTTCCATATACTGACTGAATTACATGTCGGTTTACATGTCTCTTATATAGTAAATGAACCTGTATGAACCTGTTCTGGAAGATTCTAGATGCTTCTTTTCGATGCTTCTGGATGCATCTGGATGTTCCTGAATGTTTCTGGATACTTCTGGATGCTGCTGGATGCTTCCAGATGTTTCTTCTGAAAACTTCTGGAAGCTTCTGCATGCTTCTGGAAACTTCTGGATACTTCCTTTAATTATTAAAAAACTTCCATGTCGTTGACACCGACCAGACTTAAGAAAATGAAACAAACCAAAAAAGTTGCACTTGTTTTGTCTGCTGCAAAATGGCACTTGTCAAAGAAATTCTGCCTGTGTACTGTCACCTGTCAGCTGATTGCTCATGTTATGGCATGCTATGACTCCAGACTCCTGAACTGTTTGCTGTGGTAGTATAGTTCGTTTCGTTTTTAAGACATGTAATATTAGGAACACTTTTTAGCATTGTTCAATGTTGGTTGCAAATGTTTTGTCTAATACTGTATTTTTCCTGCAATTTTTTGAATTCAAAAATTATTCTTTTGAATTCAAAAATTATTTTTGTTTAGTTAAGTCTCTAGGTACGATGATGTAAAATCTTGAGAAGTTCTGATAAGACTGCTAATATTTGTATCTCTTGTCAAAACTTCAACTTAAATGATGACAGTTTTGTAGATGATATTTTTGTTGTGTAGATGATAATTTTTACCATCAAAAACGTAAAAGTGTACAATATCCACAGTTTAAAAATTTTGTACTTAGTAT